AACTGCAGTTCTTACAATAAATTCTCTAAATTATGTTAACTTAGCTGACATTCAAAAATTTGAAAGCATATCTAATACCACAATATGATTATCTCTGAATTTTATTCCTCTGAGAGGCTTCTAAGGCAAGCATGCCAAGACACAGGCTAAACTTAATTTTGGACAAAGTCTGTTTCAAGTTTTAAATCTATTAGGTCTGCTGTAAGTCAAACCTTGCCACTATCTCTACTGGAGGAAAGGGAACACTTAAAACTGACTCCCCCTCACTTCAATTTTCTCTGTTTTTACTAATTTGTTTTCATTCAAAAGTCAAAGGTCACTAACGATGTTTTCAGTCATGAATTGACTAATGTGATTAATTTCTAGAATTTACAAACTTGTGTGCTTCAGTGTTAACACATGAGTATTATTTTGACGAACAATTTAAAACAATGCTCCTGGCCACCTGTTCATGTTTCCTCTACTACTTCTAGGTAATTCCTCTCAGATGATTCTAATTTTAAGGATGAAGTTCCTACATTTAAAAATATAAAACACAAAAATAAAACATATGCTACTTAGTAAAAACAAACATTAAAGAATGCTCATATAATTTTATATGAAAGACTCCATATTAAAAATCGTAGCAGTGGGTTTTTACCCTGACCATAGTAACTGGCAGATTTCTCAAAAGAATGAGAAGTGGTGTGAAAATTCAGAAAAGTGAAAAAAAAAAAAAAAAAAAAAAAGCTACATAAACATACTAGCACAGCTGGCTCTTGAGCTAACGCGAAGAGGGGGGCGAACACATTTATGAAGGCTATAATCGGGCTGTGGATTCCCTAAAGGGCACGTGATGTAATACTGGAGAGTCGCCTAAAGGAAAGGGATAGGTTGACAAAGGGGGTGCGGATGCCAGAGAGAGGGATGAGCCTGCGGGTGGCAGGGAGGAGGTGGATCACTAGCTAGTGCAGGGGTGTGTCAAAAGATGATTTCAGGGAGTGGGAAAGTAGCCCGACAGGCGAGGGTACGAGAGAGAAGGGAGGGTGGCGCAGACAGGAGGCAGGGAGGCTCCCGGGGAAACGGTGTGACATCTGGCGTGCGGAGCCGGCAGGGGGCAGAGCAAGCAGGATGTCACGTGGAGCAGGCGCTACGGGAGCCGAGAGGGTTGCGTACGGACAGAGGGGGGTCTTTCCCACCGCTTGAAAGACTGTTACTCACAGGAGTCGCGGACTCTTCTTGCCCTGAACTGGAGACGGGGACTTCGCGGCCTGGGGCTGCTGCCCGGGGACGTCGGGAGGCCTGGCGCTGGGGCTGCTCCTCCGCCGGCGGGGATACTCGGCCTTCCTCCGGCGGGACACAGCTGCAGCGGCGGCGGCGGCGGCGGCCGCAGCGGCCCGGCCACGATCCCGACCTCCCCTCAGCACGCGGCTGCTAGTGGTCCCTGCAGGCGCCGCCGCGGCCGCCTCAGGGGGCCGTTGTTGGGGCTCCTCCGGAGCCGCCTTGGCCGCCTCTCCCCCTTCCTGGTCCTGCTGCTCCGGGGGTCTCGGCTCTTCCGTCTCCCCCGGCATCGGGGCTTGTCCGTCCCCCACCCCCTAGTCCCAGGCGGCGGAGGCGGAGGCGGCGGCCTCGGCGCTGCTCCCCCCGCCCCCTCGCCTCCAGAAGCCTGCGGCTCACTCTCACCCTGCGCTCCTCTTTCCCCCCTCCCCTCCGCCCGGCTCCGAGGGCGCCCCCCCCACCCCCTGCCACTCAAGGTTTGCTACCGCTGGCGGCGCGCGCGCGCCCGCCACAGACGCTCAGCGGGCCAATCGGAGAGGAGGACAGTCTTCCTCACCCCGCCCCTCGCGGTCTTACACGCAGCGACGTTCCAGGTTCCCTCCCCCACCCCTTCCTTCAGCCAATCAGGAAACGACTAAAAGGGAGCGCGCGAGGTTTCCTTCCCCGCGCACCCGTTCTCACCGTTAAACGGCTGTCTCGCGACAATCCCAAAGTGACCTTTTCCCCCCCTCCAGAGTTCAATGCGCGCTAGGGGCAGTACGAAGGGGCAGGTCTCGCGAGGGAGGCGGGTGAAAAGAAATCGCACCTCTTTCCCCGCCTCACGCGCACCCTAGACTGGCTGCGCGCGCACCTGCCTCCCTAAGGAGCCACTGATGCCGCAAGGGCTCTTTCTATTCTTCTTTAGGCCGCAGAGGTAGCCTGGGCGTTCTTCCTCCTCCACCCTACCCCACTTTCCTGTCTTTGGCCTTTCTGTCCCCAGCGCCGCCAGATCTTGCGCGGAGAAGGGGGTAGTATTTTGAGCTGTCGCTTCTCCTTTAAGAAAAAAAGCCCCGTCGGTTGCCGGATGAAAGTCTCTGAAAAAATGGCGGCGGCAAAACGGAGGCGGGGTTGTGGGTCAACGAGGGCCCGCCTCCTAGCGCATGTGCACCGTTAACTTAACCAAGGGCATTCTGGGAGATGAAGTCTTATTTCGCCTAGGCTTTAGAAAAAAATAGATGGGAAACCAGAGACAGAGAGGATGCTGGGAGGTTCTGACTGATTCACGACGGGAAAGGTAGTTTACTTTCCGCAGCCTAGCTTTTACTTTTTTTTCGGGAGGCAGTGTTTCCGGGTTAGGTCGGGAAACGCGTGCCGTACATCCGGGCTCAAACGTTGAGCCAATTGCTGGTCTGATGGGAGGGTTTTTCCTATTTTTTGTTACTTTTTATCTGGGCGTTGGCGTACCTTTCTCGGGGTGTCTGCGTAATTGCCCCGACTTACCTTGGTTTGGTCAGATGACACCTCCTCTGGAACTGGCTAGCCAGCGTTCATGTCTACATTATTGATCTCGTCTTCCCCTGTGTGAGTCACTCACCTGTGAGCTCCTAGAGGTCAGGGAATGAATGTGGTTCCGTGGGGTCATCTGGCCCTCGGAACGCTAGTACAAGGCCCACTCCTCAGTTGGCTCTTAATAAAATCTGTGAAACGAATTATAAAGTTGTTTTCTACTAGACCTTGTTGGGACACCAAGAAGCCTTCGTCGGTGGCTTAACTTGGCTGCGGTGCCCAACCTGGAGGAAAGCGAAAGGGTTGTTAGCGTGACCAGACTCTGGTGACCTACACTGAGAAGCTGAAGGGTCTCTTAAGCTCTGCGGCCGGAAGCCATGTGCTTCTGCGGTTTATACAATAGCAGCTTTATCAGAAGTTACTTTTCTGCACACTAGCGTGTGACGTTAATTTGTCTTCCTGATTCATCAAAGGGAGTTTCCGTTGCAGTTGGTGATGCCGTGGGCCTCTCGCATTTCTTTTTTCCTTTCATCCATAACAATCAAGGAACGATTTGCAAGAACACCCTTTACCCCTGGAAAATAAAGCATCCAGGGCTAAAAGCCCCAGAAGAAAGAAGCTGGAAACAAGATCTGGGGATTCAATTTTAAATTTCACATTAATCATTCAGTTAAACTGTAGACAAGTGCTGAAGTACATTTTTCCTTCCAGTACTTTGACTCAGATACCACTTCATATTAGACAAATGTTTTATGTTCTCTACTGAGTATTTTACATTTTCATAGGGCTAATGTCATTTTCAGTTGTAACAATCGATTGGCATAGTGTCAATGGAAATTTTTTCAGATTGAGTTTGCAGTGAGCAGACTTTTGGAAGGAACAGTGCTGACATCCAATGGATGCTCAAAGTAATACAGAGGAGAAATCTTTCAAAAAAAAATGTACAGACAGTGGAATGAAGAATGAATTGTTGCTTTAAAAAAAAAAAAAAAGCCACTGTGGGCTGGATATGGTAGTCCACCCCCGGAATCCCAGCGCTTTTGGATGCCAAAGTGGGAGGATCCCTTGAGCCCACAACTTCCAGACCAGCCTGGGCAACATAGGGAGACCACCCTCTACACAAAAAATAAAAAACAAAAATAAATAAAAATAAAGTTTTTAAGCCAACTTAGTGGCGTGATGGCATGCACCTCTGGTCCTAGCTACTCCCGAAACTGAGAAGGGCAGATCGCCTGAGTCCAGGAGTTCCAGTTGGAGGTTACACTGAGCTATGCTAGTACCATTGCACACCAGCCTGGGTGACAGAGAGCTTGTCTCTTAAAAAATTAAAAAGACTACTGTGTTGTAGAGGAAAGATCGCAGACTTTGAAGTCTTCTATTATAGTAAGTAGCAAAGCTACCAATTAATTATAGCAAGTTGCTATTCCATGAACCTATTTCACCATTGGTAAAAAGGGAGGGGGAAATCTACTTCCCAGGGCCATAATTGCAGTTCCTTACATATTGCCTTTTTATAGTAGGCCTTTTGTAAATGTTTCATTCAAGGTGAATAAATCACAGTGGTTAAAAAAAGTGAAGAGTTAACCTCAGTGTCACTTTCCAGAGAAATTGCTATAGGCAGTGTATCTAGACAGGGATTATGCTTAACTGAGATGCACACAGTTTAACATCCGGTGTCAAACCTCGCTTCCTTCTTTGTGACCCCCCTATAGGTGTTTGCTTTTTGGACCACTAAGTAAGCCAGGCCCTGAGAATCCAAGCATGAATCCACTTCTGCCCTACTTTTAAGGATTTATAATCCATGCAGGAAAGCAGATAAGCATAATTTCTAAATAAATAAAGACAACAAAATGAAATGGATGCTGGTCAACTCTGATGGAAATTTTAAGAAAGAGACTATGCCTCTGTGGTTCCCCAGCTTTACAGAAAGAAAAAAAAAAAGAAAGGTAGATGCTCAGTTAGAGTGGGGTACCTACACTTGGAAAAAACGCAAGTGTAAGTCTGCTATTCCCGTGAATCCAAGATGAATCCTGGCACAGAGTAGGTCCTCAGTTTTTGCAAAATTAATTTTGAATCTTTATCACCCTGGCCAATGCACTACCATAACTCAAATCTCACTATCTACCTTTCTATGTCAATTCCATTTTTAAAACTGTATAACCTATAGAGAAAAAAAAAAAAAAAAGCTCACCAAATCAAAAGAGAGGAAGTGCTAAGCAAATACAGGAACCAAAAAGGGTTATAGAGGCTGCCTTATGCTGTCTCATCCAGTTCCTTTGCGGTCCTCTTCTTCAGCACATGCCAAAGCTGTTCCTCACAGCCTGTGAGACAAGAGCATCTTGGATGTAGGACAATGGAAGAATTAGGTGAGTGAGGAGCTTCTTGGAGGAGAAACTCTGAGGGAGTGAAGACTTGGCTGCCATCTCCGTGTGTGGTGGGGTATACTGGTTAGACTGAGGGTAGTAATGGAAGATTTTATTTTCACTTCTCTCCTGTCCTCAGCCCTGCCAAGAGTGAAGCATGTGGAACTATGATTGTTTTGGGGAACTATGGGCTCACTGTTTGCAGTGGCAAAATAGATGGAGAGTTTGGTGCTAACCGCAAATACTTTTGGCAAATACTTTTGGACTGGATTGTGATTGAAATTGCTGTTTTATTATGGGCATTTTGCCCTTTGGAGTTCACTGGAGATCATAGGATGGCCACATAGCAAGACAATGCAGAGATGTGATTTGAGGAGGAAAAGAAAGAGCAAAAAAGGAGTTGGGGTGTTATGAGGAAGAAAAAATGGACTAAAAGTATAGGGATGAGGGATCTGTAGAGGTTGGAAAAAGGACAGAGTGGTTTCATTTGTTCCATGTTTTAGTCTTAAATCAAGAAGGCATAGCACTCTAACTCTAGTGATGTTGTTGCTAAGCTTTTTATTCAGAAGAATTCTGAAGGAAGAGATTATTATGGCCTGAAAATATGACACCTCCTTCCACTCCAAGGCAATTAAAACCAGCAGTGGAACTATTAGCCACATTATCCAGAGAGATCCTGGATTTCAAACCTTTGGAGTAATGTAAAGTTTGTCATTCTTGGGACTCATTCCATAGCCTTTGCCAACACTGTTGCCAGCATCTAACTAACATTGAGTCACTCAACTTTACCCAATTTCCAAGCTGTATTAATTCCACAGTGTCCTGGTTTGGGGTGTGGTTGGGGATGGGATATGTCAAAAGTGCAAAAAACAACAACAAAAAATATCTTGCACATTGTTACATTGTCTTAAAAAAATGGCGTGTGATTTCAAAGCTGGAGAAACAGGAAAAGTAAAGGGCAAATTACCAGGAGGCAAGAGATGTCAATGAAGTGAAAAAGGTAGTGTTTAATAACTATCAAACTGCTTTGGCGGTAAAGTCTATTTTGATACTGGGCCAGACTCTTTTTTGGACTTCCGGTAGAATCCAAATTCTTATCCTGTGTAAGTGCTGGAAGAACGTGAATTTCTGCTTGAGTTCCACTAGGGCTAGGGCCTTTTTCCTTTTTCGTTTTTTTCTTTCTTTCTTTTTTTTTTTTGGCAGGGAGGACACCGAATGGCTTTCATGGCAAATAATTCAAAAGGAAACTAATACTTATTTAGTGAGTCAAGCAAAAACTAGACATTTTTACATATGTTAATAATTTTAGTGTCTGCAGCAACCCTCTGAAATAGGTATTATCCACGTCTTTTTCAGATGAGAAAACTAAGAAAAAGAAAATAACTTTTTCAGTGTCATTGTCGGGAACACCTGACACCAAAACTAAGCAACAAGGTGCTCTCCTATTTTAGAAGTTTGTTGGTTCTGGTGTTCTGGCCAATGAAGTAACCCAGATTTAACAGAAATTTATGTTGTTTTGCATTTCCTGAGCAGGCTAGATGTTAGGTAAATCTTGTCCTGGAATACAGAAAGTACCAAGTAGCCTGGAAGCTAGCATTTGTGCAGATTATCCAGTTGGCTACATCTCCACAGGCTGTTGATGGCTACACTTCAACAGTTTCTTCAAATTGTCATCAGCCCAGTAACTACCCTTGAGACTTGGTGTGGATCTTTCTTCCTGCTGGCAGAGAAATTGCATCGAGGACAGGTTGGCTCAAGTGAGCAAATATTTCCTGTCTGCAGTAGTGCCTCAGAGGCTAGCAGCTTGTATCCACCCAGAAGGTTTTACCTAAACCCTCATTACATAGGCATTAGGCATGATAAAGAGGAACCAGGAGCAGATTCTGCCTCCGAATGAAATCCATGCAACCCATAGAGACTCCCAAGAGACCTCACTTTATTCCTTTCATGTTAATATTGATATTATTTCATCTCCACAGTAAAAGACTACAGAGAAGAATTATAGAGTCTTCAGTCTTGTACCCGCTTCCCCCGCCTCCACCCTCCAGGAATCCCATATTTGTCATACTGAAATTAGTCATCTTCAAATTACAAAATCTGGCAAAAGGCATAATAACCTCAGAGTGTTGGCGATATGCAGACTCATGAAACAGGAAGCGAAAAGCCTATAACTCATGACCCAGAAAGAAGAGTTTTGATAACTTTGGTTAGCTGGTGCTTCTGAGGGCAACTTCCTGCTCTTAGTGGTATGTTTTCCTCTCTCTTATAATCTTTATTTTAATTTTGAGCTTAGGAGGATCTTTAGCTTCTAGTTAGAGCAAAGCTTAGAAAATTGAAAAGAAAGAGGTTCTAGCTTAATTGAAAGATGCAGAACAAAAATTCAAAATTCTCAAATTTGGTGTGGGGTCTGGCTAATAAAAATCTGAGGCAAAAAGTTTTCTTTCTCTTTCTACCTTAGTTATCCTTTCTTCTGACTCTTTTTTTTTTTTTTTTTTTGAGATGGAGTTTTGCTCTTGTTGCCCAGGCTGGAGTACAATGGCACGGTCTCAGCTCACCGCAACCTCCACTTCCCAGGTTCAAAATATTCGCCTGCCTCAGCCTTCCCGAGTAGCTGGGATTACAGGCATGTGCCACCTTGCCTGGCTAATTTTGTGTTTTTAGTAGAGACCAGATTTCTCCATGTTGGTCAGGCTGGTCTTGAACTCCTGACCTCAGGCGATCTGCCCGCCTTGGCCTCCCAAAGTGCTGGAATTGCAGGCGTGAGCCACTGCTCCCAGCCTATTTGTACTTCTTTTTAAAAACCTTCTATTATAAAGACATTTAAATATGCAAAGGTAGAGAAAATAGTTTAATGAATTCTGATATACCCATCAACCAGTTTAAACAGTTTTTCTTTTTTTTTTTTTTTTTTGAGACGGAGTCTCGCTCTACCGCCCAGGCTGGAGTGCAGTGGCCGGATCTCAGCTCACTGCAAGCTCCGCCTCCCGGGTTCACGCCATTCTCCTGCCTCAGCCTCCCGAGTAGTTGGGACTACAGGCGCCTGCCACCGCGCCCGGCTAGTTTTTTTTTGTATTTTTTAGTAGAGACGGGGTTTCACCGTGTTAGCCAGGATGGTCTCGATCTCCTGAGCTCGTGATCCGCCCGTCTCGGCCTCCCAAAGTGCTGGGATTACAGGCTTGAGCCACCGCGCCCGGCCTAAACAGTTTTTCATCAGTCTTATTTCATATATAGGCCCACCCATTCCTTTCACCGCTATAATTATGTTAAAACAATATCAGATGTCATTTTATCTGTAAATATTTTAGCACTAACCTCTAAAATAAATAAATATGTTTATACATATAACTGTAATGCCATTGCCATAACCACAACAGCCTTAATAGTAATTCCTTAATATTGTGAAATACCATTATCACACCTAAAAACTTAACAGAATTACTTAATATTATCACATATCATTATTACACTTAAACAGTACTTACTTGATATTGTTTAATGTCCAGTCAGTGTTCAATAGTCTTGATTGTTTCATTTTTAAGTAGATTTAACGATCCAAATAAAATTCATACACTGAAATTAATTATAAGTCTCTCGACTTTTTAATGCTATAGGTTCCCCCTCATCTCTTTTTTCCCGTTACAGTTATTCATTTGCCCTAAAGTTTAGTTCAGTTTGCTTATCTCTAAAATGGTACATAAAAGTCAACATTTTTGAGAAATGAATGATTATGAAAGCTCTGTAGATTTCATTTGTTTAAAAAAAAAAAAAGGATTAGATCTCTTCTAATGCCATTAAGAAATATTCATTCCTCCAAAATCTAAAATAAATGAAAAATCTGGGTTTTTTTAAATGACCTGTGAAGTTTATTTTCCTTATGTGAGAACTTCAGATGTAGACAGGTCCTTAGATATAATATAATTCTGTGTTTAAAGTTGGAAAACTATAACGTGTGGTAAGAAATCCGCTAGAGATCCACTAATGGGTATTGAGCCATAATTTGAAAAATACTGTTCTAATCCAATTGCCTTGTTATGTAGATGAGGAAACTGCATCAGAGAAGGACATGACATGCTCAAGATAACCCAGGAATACGTCTAAGACAGGAGACTGGAACTTCTAACTTTCAGTTAGTGCAGGGGCTAGGGATCAGATAGCCCAGATTCAAGTCCTGGTTCTGCACTCATGAGCTTAAGCAAATTATTTTTGTCTCTTTGTTGTGATCTACCAAATAAAGACAATAATATCATCTGCCTCAAAGTGTTAGGATGATTAAATGAAATGTGTACACTCCTGAGCACAGTGCCTGGCATGTGTTACTTTTTATTATTATTTGTTTCATTATAACAGATAGGTACTAGTAAAAAAAAAAAAAAAAAAAAAAAACTACGAGAGTAACAAATCCCAACTATTTAAATTGCAACATCTTACTTGATTTTGTAATATCTCAATTTTCTCCCCATTTTTTCTCTCCACACCCTAAAAGACAGAATACTTATACCTTGCTTTGAGAATTTTGTTATGTGCTCAGGATAATTGTTAAGATTTAAGAAAAAATATCATTAGGATTAAGAATAAGTGTTATTTCCCTTGTATGTTTTGAAAAATGATGATATAATTGCTTGTATTTTTCTGATGGAAAAAAGCATTTAGGATTTTTTTCTTTCTTTTTTCTTTTTTTGTCTGTTTTTTTTTTTCTTCTTCTTCTTTTTTGGAGACAATGTATCACTCCTTTGGCCCAGGCTGCTGAAGTGTGGTGGTGTGATCTTGACTCAACGCAGGCTCACCTAGGCTCAGGTGATCCTCCCACCTCAGCCTCCCGAGTAGCTGGGACCACAGGTGCACGCCACCATGCTGGGCTGACTTTTTCATATTTTAATACAGACTGGATTGTGCTATGTTCTGGAACTCCTGGGCTCAAGGGATTCTCCACCTCAGCCTTCCAAAGTGCTGAGATTACGGGCATGAGCCACTATACCCAGCCCAGTTTTATTTTTTCTAATTAGGGATATTTGTGGGCAGTCTACCCTAAATGAATGATGAAAATTAATACCTGTAGTATAAAAAATCAAATTATAGCATGAGACTCTGAAATTGAATGCAACCGTAGAAAATAAGAAAAAAACCACAATTTATGGAGGCATTAAACATTTCTTGATAGAATTCACCACATTCTTGAAGTGAAATAAGGAATAAGGGAAAGTATTTGAAAATAGCCATAACTGAAGAAAAGAAGGAGATGAATGTGGGCACAGTGAAGATACTTAAGGAGAAAATGACTTTAGAGACTTAAATATTCTCTGTCATGATTCTCTTACTTCTTATGGTGTAGATGCCTTATTGGAGGAACTGGAACGCTCCACCCTTCAGGACAGTGATGAATATTCCAACCCAGCTCCTCTTCCCCTGGATCAGCATTCCAGAAAGGAGAGTAACCTTGACGAGACTTCAGAGATCCTTTCTGTTCAGGATAACACAAGTCCCTTGCCGGTAACTTTTCATTTATTATAGTCCTTAAACATGGATGTTTGAATGCATTTCTGAAAATTAATTGTATCCCACATAAAATGATATGAAAGAAGAATAATATATCCAAGAAAGAGAAAAAATAATGCCTCAATGTTCATCTAAAGATGTTTTTGGAAAGAGGAGGCGAATTGAGAAAATCATCACAGAGGAATGAGTTTGAGCTTTTGAGAACTTTTTTTTTTGAGACAGTCACACTCCGTCTCGAAAGCTGGAGTGCAGTGGCATGATCTTGGCTCACTGCAACCTTCACCTCCCAGGTTCAAGTGATTCTCCTGCTTCAGCCTCCCAAGTAGCTAGGATTACAGGCATGCACCACCACGCCTGGCTAATTTTTGTATTTTTAGTAGAGATGGGTTTCGTCGTGTTGGCCAGGCTGGTCTCGAACTCCTGACCTGAAGTGATCTGCCCGCCTCGGCCTCCCAAAGTGCTGGGATTACAGGCATGAGCCATCGTGCCCAGCCAAGAACTAAATTTTTTCTAATGAGCGCATGGTGACAGGCAGAGTATTGTCTGATTCACTGGGGATATTCTGTTACTGTGGGGGCATCAGAGATGCATGTTGCTGTTTGACTGGAATGGTACTCAGGCCAGAGATCACCGAGGAAGGCCAGGTGGCAGCTTAGACAAGTCTTCTCAGGGTGACTTTTTAGGGTCACCACTTCCCAGGTCTTATTTTCTGCTGAATAGATTAGGAAATTCAATTATTAGTTTACACGGAGATGATGAAGCTCTAGGGAACCAACTGAAGCTAACCAAACTGACAAGTGATTATATATATATTTTAAAAACCTAGGGCAGGTGCAGTGGCTCAGGCCTGTAATTTCAGCAGCTTGGAAGGCTGAGGCGGGAGGATCACTTGAGGCCAGGAATTTGAGACCAGCCTGGGCCACATGGTGAGACCCCCATCTCTACGAAAAATTAAAAAATGAGCAGGATGTGGTGACACGTGCCTGTGGTCCCCGCCACTCAGGTGGCTGAAACAGGAGGATCGCTTAAGCCCAGGTGGTCGAGGCTGCAGTGAGCTATGATTGCACCACTCCGTCCCAGCCTGGGTGACAGAATGAGAGCTTGTCTCAAAAATCAAACAAAAAACAAAAACACAGAACTTAGAAATCAAATTTATTAATTTATGGTTAAAGCAATCAAGCAAAGCAGCTGTATTTACTCATATATGCATTCTTTTCCTATGGATAAGTCTATATGGACGTACGTTATAATTAAAAGGTTGCTTGATGAGAATGGAATTAGTGTAAGATGAATTAAGTAGATGCTCTTCATAGCTGGTAATTTTGTACTATGATGTGTTGATTCGTCATTGTTCCCTATATGAAATAACCAGAAGCACAGACCTGAAATTTGAGCTCAGGGGTGGTTTACCCCCTAACTGTTCTTTTCTCCAAACACATACACAGTTTTAAGGATATGAATTTGTCTCTCTACTAGGGAACCATTGTCTTTGTTCTCAATGTTAGATTATAGCTGTAGGCTCCTAAGTGGTCTCCTGCCCTTTCCCCCGCTACAGTCTGTTCTCAAGCAGCCAGGGTCACCTTTAAAAACTAAAGTCAAACCCAGTCATTCTTCTACTCAAAACCCCACAATGACTCCCTATCTCATTTGGAGTAAAAGCCATATTCTTACGTCGATCTTTCTGGGGTGACCATATATCCTGTCCTGGGTTTATGCTTGTTTTTGTCGCATCCTATTAACTTTACTTTTTATCCCAGATTTGCAATTTTATTTAAAGTTTTCTTATCAGTATTTGCATTAAGTAAGCCAGTATGGCTTAACAGACCTCCTTCTAGCTTCTTCCATGGTCTCCTCTAGCAGTGTATAGAACACATATTCAGTGAACAGTGCTCTTTTTTTTCCCCCCCGAGATGGAGTCTCTTTCTGTCGCCCAGGCTGGAGTGCAGTGGCGCAATCTTGGCTCACTGCCATCGCTGCCTCCCAGGTTCAAGTGATTCTCCTGCCTCAGCCTCCTGAGTATATGGGACTACAGGCATGCACCACCATGCCCAGCTAATTTTTGTATTTTTATTAGAGACAGTGTTTCACCATGTTGACTAGGCTGGTCTTAAACTCCTGACCCCAGGTGATTTGCCTGCCTCAGCTTCCCAAAGTGCTGAGATTACAAGCATGAGCCATTGTGCCCAGCCAAATTCTGACTTAATTTTGGTTGAATGCAAAAGATGGCTAGTGATAACTTGTCTTTTTTCTTGATTCCGTTCAGATGAAACCTAGCTAGCAGCAACCGTTCAAGAATTATATGCAGGTGCTGGCTGTTAAAGCTAAGAGCTCAAGCACAAGTAGTCAGAGGTAGCTAACTCTTCTGATCTTCGGTGGTAGCAGAAACATTTCTGAGGCTTTTCCCCCTGCTGGCCACTTGGCAAACCACCACTTGTGCCCTCCCATGGTTGTGTGGTGGGTGGCCTGTGAGATGCATGGAACCTCCTCAGAGTCAGTAGAAAATAGGAGAAATTGTGGCTTAATGTCATACAAATTTTAGGAAATAGAGGCTAAGTAATTTTGCCATAGAGTATAGTGTAACCTAATTGTTTTATTAAAGCAGTTTTGTTATTATTTGTATATGTGAAGCTCTATTTGTTTTATTATATGGTAATGTCTTTTTAATTTTACAATTTTACAATAAACCCTTTCAGCAGTTAGCACAAAACAAAACCAAAACAAAACGCACATGTTTAATTGTCTCAAGAAAGCTGATAACGAATATGCAACATGTGGAAAATATTTGTCAATATTTACCATGCACCATACAAGCTCACTATCCCTTTGAAAACCAGAAAGTATAAATATGGTGAAGAAGCTTTGACATCTATTTCCAAAGTTAATAATTTAAGAAGAACATGCCTTAAAATGACTTCAACATGGCCGCTGCTGGTGGCCTATGTATATATCATTGTGAAGTATATATCACTTTCGCATTAGTATCAAATAATTCACAGATTAATTTTGCTCATTTTCAATTCCACATTTTCTTGTCCTTGTAAGTAAGCTGGTAATAATTAATGAGTGATTTTCCTTTGCAAACCTTCAAATAATGTTTTTTATAATAGTGTCGTTAAAGGTCTCAGTTCAAAAATGTATTAATTCCGAAATGTTTCAATTTTGTTTTTTATCTAATTCAAATAATCAAAATAAAATATGTGAGAATTTATTTCCTAGTCAAAAAGTGAAACATCTGACATTGTTAATTTAGTTGTAAAGCTCAACATTGAAGATAAACTGTTGTTTTGTTGTAAGAATAGGAATACAAATGTTAATAGAGCATGCATTGCGATAAAATATTCTTACCAAGTTAACAAGCTATGGAGCAGAAATGTACTTGGAATTGGTTGTAATGTGCACAAAATTTGTGACTACATTCAAACAAGCTGCGGTATTCTGTCAGTCAAAATAGAAACTAAAATTGTCAAAATTTATAAATATAAATACACACACACACACACACACACACACACAGATTATATAACTGATCTACAAAACTTTTCTGACAGAAGCTGGTATCAAATACTACCATGCAAGGAAACATTTCAGAATTACTATATGTATATTCCTGTCTGTGTTGCATGTCGTCAATTGGATTTCGGGAATGCCTGGGCCTTTGAAAAACCGCTTTGTAAAGCAACCCAAATTTAGATTGCATTATGTTCAAGACCAGTTGAAAATTTTTGATCGATTACTCAATGAATGTAGCATGAAAATTCAGCCTTTGAGGCTTTTAGAAAGTTACAATTATGTAAAATAAGGCTTGCAAAGGAAGAAGCTCAAATTTCTCCCTACAAAAGCCAAGAAGGAATTGAACAAATCAAAAGATGAAAGCAGATATGGTTTAATTATCTAATTTGACAATTGTGCTTCAGAAAAATCTTTGATGTATTTTGAGTTCTAATTTTATCTGCATAAATTTTTATTCTCCACCAAAATGGAGAAAAATTGTGAAAGTCTATGATTTTTGCAATATCTAGATTTGGCAAAATGTTAAAACAATCACAGATATAGACAACTTGAAAGTTTTATCTTGTAAGAAAATTATTGAACAAAAGTGCTTTGAATGAAGGTAGAAAGACAGCACCTATGATGACACTGGCCTGAAATATTTACATATTTTAATATAAAAAATGAAAAGATTCTTCATTTAGCAGAACTTACAGGTTCATCAGTATCTAGAGAAGAAATGTGTTCTCTGTTAAAAACATTACAGTCTACAGTGAAGCATCAATTAAAGTTGTCCACAATTTCAAATATATTAACCATAAAATGAAATTTTAAAAAAAGATTGCAGTTTTGTAAAAATAATAACTGTTTTTTTAAAAAAAATGGAAAAAAACACATGTTCCTGAAAAATGTCCACATCACAATGCTAGGGACAATAATATCTAAATAACCAATTAAGGTATGTGAATACATATCAAGAATAATTATCTGTACCATTTAAAAATATTCAGATAATCAATTTTTTTTTTTTTGAGACAGAGCGTCACTCTGTTGCCCAGGTTGGGGTGCTGTGGCGCAATCTCAGCTCACTGCAACCTCTGCCTCCTGGGTTCAAGCAATTCTCCTATCTCAGCCTCCCGAGTAGCTGGGACTACAGGCACCCATCACCATACCGAGCAAATTTTTTTGTATTTTTAGTAGAGACGGGGTTTCACTATGTCTGGTCACTTAAGATGAGACAGGTCACTATCTCTGGTCTCAAACTCTCCTGACCTCTAATGATGTGCCTGCCTCGGCCTCCCAAAGTACTGGGATGATAGGCGTTAGCCACCATGCCTGGCCAATATTTTTTTAAAGTTGCTTGAATGTTCACAAGTTTGTATCACTTTAAGATATTTCAGGAAATTTTTATTTTGAAAATAAATTTTGGATAGAATTATCTTATACCTCCACTAATATAATAAGACCAAATTCAGGTCAATAAACGTATTTTTTTTTTGAGATGGAGTCTCACCCTGTCACCCAGGCTGGAGTTCAGTGGTGCGATCTCGGCTCACTGCAACCTCTGCCTCCCGGGTTCAAGTGATTCCCCAAGCCTCAGCCTCCTGAGTAGCTGAGATTACAGGTGCGCACCACCACTCCCAGCTAAATTTTTGTATTTTTAGTAGAGACGGGGTTTTACCGTGTTAGCCGGGATGATCTCGATCTCCCGACCTCGTGATCCGCCTGCCTGGGGTGCCCAAAGTACTGGGATTACGGGCGTGAGCCACCGTGCCCGGCCAATAAACACATATTTTAAAAATGATATAATATGACTACTTTTGGAACCCCTTTTCTTTCTAAAAAATATCCCAGTCTGAGCATTTGGTGACGTGGCCGCCTCATCTGCATGATTTGGCCCCTTCACTTGCTGCCCCTGTGTCCCTGGTTCACTCTGCTCAGGCCACACTGTCCTTCTCGTGTGTGGTTCCACAGAAGCTCCAGGTGCTTTTCCTGATGGCCTTTCCACCTGGATCATGTGACCCCAGATATTTGCTTTCTTTCCTCACCTCCTATATAAGTCCTTGCTCAAGCGTCCTCTTCTCAGTGAGTCCTTCCCTGGTCAGTATATTTATAATTGCCGTCTCCCCCCACTTCCCATCTTCTATCCAAAAGATTAATTTTGCATATTAATTTCTTTATTATCTGTTTTGCACCACCGGAATGTAAACTGCAGGGCTTACAGTTTTGATTTGATTGTTTTGCTTTTTGACTGCTACATCTTCAGTCCTGGCACATGACAGGCCCTCAATACATATTTGTTCAATAAATAAATGAATTGCCGGCCAACCACCTTTTAGATTCACATGTTATTTCTTTTCATATGTCAAGTTTAATAACATTATAGTGTCCCCCTAGGCACTATCCTGTTTAGTTAAAGGAGCTTAGCTCTGACCCATTTTATTTGTTTTATGGTTCTAATCTAAGGAGGATCAACTACTCTATTTCGGTGGTTTTTAGGCAAGAAGGGGCTGCCAGTGTTTGTTCATATGCCAACTACTCTGTTTAGAATTTAGCTTTTCTTTGTGGGATGGCTGGTAATTCCCCTGGCTTGTGAAAGAAGAGCTCATAGATATGCCACTTGTCAGTCCCCTTTAAAAGCTACAAACATCTATTAACTATGGGTATCATTAAGCCTCAACATTCTGATAACAAAAATTTATTCTTTGCTCTTCTCTTGTCACTTACATATTTTAGGCGCAGCTCGTGTATACCACCAATATCCAGGAGCTCAATGTCTACAGGTATTTTTTTTTCTATTAAATGCTTTCAAAAATTAAAGTTAGTAGATAATTGTTATCAATCTTTCTTTGGGTGATAATTTGTTTTGCAAGTGTTTATTATTAGAACTCCCATATCATCCTTCTCTTTCCGTAGTCTTTGAACATTGGTAGAATTCTGCAAAGCTGACTTGACAACTTCTCAAGGTGCCTGGCTTCTGGAGGGGTTGTCTAGGCTAGTGGGCCCTGCTATGTCCATTACCACCTAAAAAAGTGTAAATACTCCCAGAGTTACCACAGATGTTTTGTCCACACTATTCCAGATGTTATGCTTCAGTTTCCTGAAAGATAAAACACACCTGAAGAAACGTCAGCAAGATTCTAGCAATGTCAAAGCTAGGATGAGGGTTAAACTAAGACAGTGGGGTCTCCATGGCCAACTGATGAGTATTTACTTTTTCTTTCCATATTTGCTCAAAATTTATATAATGGGTAGAGGGATTTCCTTTTATGAGAAGTTCCATATTGAAACAGATACACTTACTAAATCATTTCTCCTGGCTAAAGCAGAATTGGCAGTCTGAAAAAATAAAAAGGTTAATTTACTTATTCTCTCCTTAGTTATAGCTTGCAATTTTTAACATCAGACAACTTTCTGGAAAACAAATTAAAGGGCATAAAATATAGATAGTAAAGATTCATGCTTGGGAAAGAGTGCTAGACCACACCTTATTTGGTTTCAGGATTGCAGTCAGTAGTGCACACATGCAAGGCAAAAATAAGGCAAGAACTGTGCTACAAGAAGGTTTCTTAAAACTTCCCTCTTAAAGATGGTTTTTACTTTGGTGAAGGTGAGTTCAATTTATTGATACATATTGCCAGTTTGTTCTAGTTCCAAGGATGTTGCCAGGTGAGAATTCCTCCTAGTCCTTCCCCAGTCCCTGAAACCCCAATGAAAAATAAAAACAAAGCAAAACAATAACAAAAAGTGGCTGGCACACAATAGGTTCTCAGTAAATATTTGGTTTCTTAAATCTAGGAAACCGAGACTCCAATAGAAATGCGAGTGAATGCATGAACATATAACATGAAAACCAGCCCAACCAACAGCCTGTATATCTGGCACTGTGATTAATTGATGCTCTGCCAATACTAACTTATTGACACTCTCTTCCTCATAGTATGGGCCTTTCTGGCCTATTTCCCATGATTTCCTCCTTCTCTTGCTCCATATTCCAGGGGAGCTGACCCCTTGGGTTTTCCAGGCTCCAGGATCCGTTGGTCCTCATTGTCTTCAACCAATGGGAGGCACTGTGGAAAGACTGCAGGATAAAAAGCAATGAAATCCAGGGCATTTCCCCGCCAAATCGCTCTATTTCCACAGGATCTCTTGTCAGCAGCTTTATCTTCTTTATGACTTCAGCTGGAGCACAACAGGTCTGCTGTGGTTTCAGCTTCTGCCTGTTGACTTGGGCCCTAGTTCTGGTAACTTTTCCTCTTTTCTTTGTCCCTTTGGCTTAGGGGTAGTAGTGACTTCTGGGTTACTCAGTGTCTTCTGTTTTGCTTCTTAGCTCTCCCCTCACCTATGTAATCAAGTTTCTGGACTAAATTCTTTCTGTGTACTCATGTAGTTTGTGTTTTCCTGACTGGCCTTTGAGGTACTCCCCATTACTGAATGATACTTGCTGTGTAGGCAGGCCTCTGTGGGAGAGTGGCATAAAATCTAGGTGACCTAGTAAATATGTAATAGATAGATGCACATCCCTGAGACTGGTGTCACTCTGAGCTGGCAAGAATACCATATAAATGGGATATTAGACACACAAACTATATTCCTGCATTCTGTTTCTTCTATTTACTCTGGCTTGCTTAAATGAACTAAACATTGCTTTTAACATACCTTGAAAGTATTTTCAATACTAGATCTGAATATAACAATGGAATAACATTTCTACTATAGTTACATATCAATAGCAACATGAGCAATAATTTAGAAATGTATCTTTTCCATAAACAAAAATAATTCTGCTAATAATCGAGAGGAACAAGTCATAAAAATATAACAGAGAAATAAGTAGGGGAAAAAAACTCAGCACAGTGAAGCCCCTTGCTTCAGTCTGGATTCTTTGAGATGTATCTTTTGTGATTTGTGTTACTGAAATCTCTGAGCAATGAAGTAAGTTGCTGCTGATGACATAGCCAAGCATCTTTACTATCTTCAAAAGGTCAGGGAAGGAATCAAAGGCTCTTCTCTTTTCAGGAATATTTCCTGCAGCAGGCACTTTAATTTGTAATCATTAACTCTTCAAGGTCTCTCATTTCTTATGTAGAATTTTATACTGTTTACTCAATAACTGTTGGAGTATTATAACAATGATCTGTTTCCCTTTCTACACTGCACTAGGACTCTAGTTAAAAACCAGTGGGAATTCTTTGAAAAAGCACAAATTTGCCCCAACTGTGAGATGGGACGGTTTTTAGGAATATACAAGCCCTGCTAAGAAACTGCATTTATTCTACATTTGGGCACAGGGCAGCAGAATGTGTTCACAGTCCTGCTGCCTTTTGTATCCCCAAGCCATTTGCCTGTGGCAGCACCTACCAAGGGATTATGACTGACCGAGCTGTGAGAAGAAGCTCCACTGTACCTTCTTGGAAACATACTTGACCATTTTTGCTCTCAGATTAAAATAAAAAATCTTGCATCTAGTAGAGGGCCGTGTTGTACCTAAAAGATAAATCTTTTATCTTAAGAGATAATCCATTTTCCTCTTATATTTTCCTTGTTGTTAAATAATCAAAAATAAGTGAACATGAGACATGTCGTATCCAAAAGATAATCTTTTCTTTTTAAGAGAGAAAAGTATCCACTTTTCTTCTACTTTTTTCCTGGCTGGTAAATACATAAAGATAAGTAGTAAGTGTGTGTTTTCATTTTTGAAAGTATATTTAGTGAAAGACAGAATATTTACTTTTATTTATGGCTTTGCATCTTTGTGCAGATGAGAGAGAAAAGGCTTGAGTGGTCGTGAGATAGAGGGTTTTGGTTTGGTGGGTTGTTAGCTAAGCTTTGTTGATTAATGTTGATTACAAACATGATTCCACAGTCAGTTACCTTTTTATACCTTTTGACCCAGTGATTTCACTTCTTAAAATTTACTCTATATAAATGATCAAACATGGGTGCAAATATTTGTTTAGCAGTATTGACTATAATAACGACAGAAAACAATCTAGGTGTCCAACAATAAATTATTGGTTTAATAAATTGTATAATACATTATATATTTGAAAACCATATAGCCTTTAAACATTATTTTGGCAGGTAATTCAGGACAGACAGCACAAACTTTGCAGTTTGCAGGCCCAAGCTCTTTGTTACTTGCCAACTGTATTATGTACAAAAAAGTTTTTAACTTCTCTAAGCCCCAATTTTTTCATTTGGAGGTGACAATACCTAGCTCTTAAGGTTGTCATTATAAAAGATTTAAAGAGAACCTGTGTAAAGCTCTGCATGGAGTGTCAGGCATAGTGTAGACAGACATTCAATAAATGCTATCTATTATGGTTGCCGAAGATAGAAAAATGTTTGCATAAGAGTAGGAAAAATGTATAATTTGAGTTTTCTAAAATTACACACAATCATAGTTAAGTGTAATGGTATCAGCCAAAACGTCCAGAGTAATTGCCTCCTGAAAAGGGGATTACATGTGTTTAAAATTTTTTCTTTATATTTCTCTGTATTTTTCAAATGTTCTACACTTAACATGTATTAATTTCATATTTTAAAACAATTTTAAATAGAAACCTCTACACCATGACTGTATTTGTGTACTTTACTGAAGGTTGTTTGTAGAACCATTATGTGTGTGTGTGTGTGTATATAACTGAGATATACAGGTGAATTGCACTACTGATGTCTCATCTGACACCTCCACTACTTCATCTGTTGACCATGTGTATTAGCTATTTTCCTAGTATAGATGACCTGTGTTTTGTTTTATTTTAAAAATATAACTTAAGATACAAAACTATTTCATAAACTCATGTGCATAAACAGTCGCAGATTTTGGAAATGTATACATAGGGTGAAAAGTGAGACCACCCCGCTTAGAGTCTTTCCTCTCACCAACTCGTTACCAGCTCCACGGGTAACTGCTGTCAGGTTCTTCTCCTTACAGACTTATGTGTGTGCATATTCACACTTATGTACATGGGCTTATAAATTTACATAAATGAAAGTATATTTTTTCTTTCTTTTTTTCTTTAATTTGAGACAGGGTCTCTCTCTATTGCCCAGGATGGAGTGCAGTGGTGTTATTTTGGCTCACTGCAGCCTTGACCTCCTGGGCTCCAGTTATCTTCTCATCTCAGCCTCCCAAGTAGCTGGGACCATAGGCACGTGCCACCACACCCAGCTAATTTTGAAATTTTTCATAGAGATGGAGTCTTCCTGTGTTTCCCCGGCTGGTCTTGAACTCCTGGGCTCAAGCAGTCCTCCTACCTCAGCCTCCTGAAGTGCTGGGATTACAGACGTGAGTGACTGCACCAGACTGGAAGTGTAATTTTCATATTGATCTGGGCTTTTGTTTTTTTACGTTAACAATGTATGTTGAAAGTCTTTCTTAGTTCACATAAATCTATGGCTGCTTAGCAGTTGCATGTTATTCTACAGCATGGATGAGCCATAGTTTATTTTCCTTTAGCTCTGTTGGTTTATTTCCAATTTGCTCATAGAAACTGTACCCTAATAAATGTCCTTGCATATATATTTATATATATATGTCCAATTTTTCTGTAGGATAGATTCTTAGTAGCAAAATCGCTGAATCAAGTGGTATATGCATCTGAAATGTTGATAGACACTGCCTTGCAAAAGTGTTTATAAATTTACTTAACCACCTATGGTATATATAAATGTGTATGTGTATATATATATATAAAATTCATATTTTGCCAACACTGCATATTATCCCTCTTTTAAAATTTCAACTGATAGGTAAATATTGGCATCTCATTGCTTTAAATTGCCAATTTAAAGATTAATGAGGTTGAAGTATTTTTATATAGTAATAAACATTTGAGTTTCTCTTTCTGAAACCTGCTTTTTAAAAGAATCCTTAGCTCAGGTTTCTATTTTTCGAAATTATTTATAGATTTCTTTAAAATCTTGAATGTTATGTTTTAAATATTTGTTTATATTTAAGTTTTGTGAACTTAGCTGTATCAGTTTGTTTTTTCATTTTTGACATGACTTCAGAATATTGTGTCCGTCTTAGGAAAGCCTTCATTACCCCAAATTGTAAAATATATTCTTCATTTTTTTATTATCATTACATTTAAAAATATTTGTATCTATCTTTAATTTGTCTCAAATGTATTCATGTATATGGTGTGTTGGGGATCCATATTTATTTTGTCCCAAATAGGTTGTTATTCATTGAGTGGAGTAGTCTGTTTTGGATGATTTGAAATGCCACATTGATCATATAGGAAGTTCTTTTAGGTGCAGGAGCCTGTTTCTGGGTTTTCTAATCTACTCCTTTGACCTATTTGTTTTTTATCTTTATCTTTATCTTTTTCTTCTTCCTTTCCTTTCCTTTCTTTTCTTTCTTCTCTTTTTTTTTTTTTTTTTTTGTTTGTTTGTTTTTTTGACAGGGTCTCATTCTGCTTCTGTTGTCCAGGCTGGCATGCAGTAGTGTGATCACAACTCACTGCAGCCTTGGCCTCCTGGGCCAAAGTGATCCTCCTGCCCCGGCGTCCTGAGTAGCTGAGACGACAGGTGTGTGCCACTATATCTGACTGATTTTTAAATTTTGGTAGAGACAGGGTCTCCCTATATTGCCCAGGCTGGTCTTAAACTCCTGGGCTCAAGCAGTCCTCCTGCCTCAGCTTCCCAGAGGGATCACAGGTATGAACGATCACACCCAGCACTATCTATTTTTTTTTTTACCAACATCATACAAATTTAATTATTGTTACTCTATAAGACACCACATCTATCAAGACAAATATTCCCTCCTGGTTTTTTTTTCTTTAAAACTTTTAATTTTTATAGAGACCAGGTGTCTCTCATGTTTCCTAGGTTGTTCTCAAACTCCAGGTCCCAAGTGATTCTCTTACCTGGACCTCCCAAAGTGCTGGGACCACAGGTGTGAGACACCACCCACCCCTCCTATTTTTTTTTTTTTTTCAAAATTGTCTTGAGTGTTCTATCCCATAAATGTTAACATCACCTTACTAATTAGCTTCAATAATTATGTCAGAATTTTTATGTGAATTACATTGAATTTACAATTTAATTAGGGGAAACACGTAATATTTATCTTCATTTATGTAGGCCTTTTCTAAAAATACATTTTATTGTGCATATTTAAGGTGTACAATATTATGGGAATGAATAGTTAGTAAAATGGTTACTATAGTGAGGCAAATTAACATAGTTATTATCTCACACCGTTACACATTTTTGTTTGTTTGTTTTTGTGGCAAGAACAGCCAAAATCTACTCATTCAGCAGGAATCCTAAATACAACAATTTCATTACCGATAGTTCTTATGTTGTACATTAGATCTCTAGGCTTGTTCATCTTACATATCTGCTACTTCATATTCTCCAGCCTACACGTCCCCATTTTCACTCCCTTTCCTGGCCCTCATCACCGATATATCTGCATATTTGACCTTTTTAAATAACAAAAACAATTCCACCTATAGGTGAGATCATGCAATATTTTCCTTTCTTATTTAACTTAGTATAATGTTCTTCCAATTCATCAGTACTATGACAAATAGCAGGATCTCCTTTTTTTTTATGGCTGAATAATATTCTGCTGTGTTTGTGTGCATATTTCACAATGTCTTTATTCCATTGGTGTCCATTCACTGATGGACGCTTAAGTTGTTTCCACCTCTTGGCTATTGTGAATAATGCTGCAATGAACATAAGAGTGCAGATATCTTTACGAAGTGGTAATTTCATTTATTTTGTGTGTGCCCAGAAGAAGGATTCCTGTGTCAAGTGGTATTTCTATTTTTAATTTCTTTAGAAACCTCCATATTATTTTCTATAATGGCTGTATCAATCTACATTCCCACCAACAGTGTATAAGTGTTCTTTTTTCGCCATACCCTGGCCAACATTTGCCATCTTTTGACTTTTTGAGAATAGCTATCTGTTTGTGAGTGGTTTCTCATAATAGTTTGATTTGCATTTCCCTGATGATTAATGGTGTTGAATACCTTTTCATATACCTTTTGGCCATTTTTATTTCTTCTTTGGAGAAACATCTATTCAGGTCCTTTGCTCATTGGTTAATTGGATATGTGGATCTTCCTTTATGTCTGCCAATGGTTTTTCTTCATAGAATTCTTACACATTTTTGGTTAAATATATTATTGATATTTTATAACTTTTGTTAGAATTGTGAGCAGGTTCTTTTTTTCTCATTGGATTTTCAAACTGCTTATTGATGATCAGTAGGAAAGAGGCTGCTTCATTTTATTCTTGTATCGAATCACCACCCTGATCTTTTTTATTCATTCCAATGGTTGTTCAGTCGTTTATCTTACATTTTCCTGGGAAGTTATTATACCATCTATTTTAAAAGAAAGAATGAGGATGTGCTGCCTTTTTTCAACTATATAATCCTCTTATTTTACTTTTAAATGTGTTTGATAATGTATTCTAGAATAATGTTGAAGATTGCCAATGATAATAGGATCTATGTCCAACTTACCTCTTAATTAGAAATCTGCTTAATATTTGACTATCAATTATGAGGCTTGCTGTAGATTTCTTATGGAAACATTTTATCAGTTTATAGACTTTTTCTTATTTTTCTTGATATTCAACAACAGGAAGTGTTGTTAAATTTGTCTTCCACTGCTTTTTCAGCACATATCATTGTGTTTATAAAGCTTTTCTCCTATTTGTTAATGAATTATATTAATCTTTTTCCTAATTTTGAACTATTTTTGGATGACCAGTATAAACACCACCTAGCCATGACTTTTTAAAATTTTTTATGTCTTTTTAAAAAAACACGTTTCAACTAATTTTATTTAACCTTCTCTCTCTCACGCATGCACATCATTTTTTTTATTTTAAAAAGTTTCTGGGCTATATATAGAATGAAATAATGTTCTATATTTTTCTATGTATTTGGAAATTTTATACAACGATACCCCCAAAACTGTCAGTTTTTTTTTATTTCTTGTTTTCTATTTCATTAATTTATGTGTTTATTCCTTCTGTTCAATTATTTTAGATTTTTCTGAGACTCTTGATTTGGAAGTTTTGTTTATTTCTGATCTTCCTCATTTTTTAATATCACACTTAAGGCTATTTATATATTTTCTTCTCAATAATATTTAGCTTTCAACTCCCAAAGATGTGTGTGTGCGTGTATGTGAGTGTGTGTGTGTGTGTGTGTGTGTTTTCATTGCTATTTCTATCTGGTTTGAAATTCAGTTTAATTTTTTTTATCCCAAGAATTATTTACAAGTGCTTTGTTTTTTCTTAAGTGGATAGTTTTTATGATTAATTCGTACTTCTATTCACTCCAATCTAAGAATATGGTCTATATGATGTATTTTAAAAAATTTATTGAGCTTTACTTTGTTTCCTCACATATGGTTAATTTTACTAACGATTATGCAGATACTTGAATAGAATCCGTAATCTGTTTATTGGGTACAAAGTTTTATTTATTTATAATTTACTTACAATTATATGAATATGAAATCATCATCATATATATTATCTAAACTTTCTGCACCAGAGATTTGCAAACTTGTTCTGTAAAGAGGCAGATGGTAAGTTTGTTAGGCTTCATGGACTATAAAGTCTTTGTAGCAACTACCTAACTGTGCAGAAAAGCAACTATAGACAGTAACTAAATGAATGGTCATGGCCAGATTTGATTCAAGGACTTTATTTGTTGATGCCTGCTCTATATTCTGGTTTATTTTTATTTTTTGACAATAACTGACAGGAGATATAATACTTTTTATAACTTAGATGGCCAGGGAGAAATAGAGACAAAAGGCAGAGAGAACTTGTTTAGATTTTCAGTCAGTACATATTAATGTATATTTTTAAATACCTCCATCTTTGATTTTAGATTCATATCCAGGGGATTCATTATTACAATTGCATTTCCAGTACTTTATGTGTGGTTTAACATTATTTGAGTTTTGATTTGTTCATATGACTTTTTTGTTTTCCCTCTGTAGTGAAGCCCAAGAGCCAAAGGTATCACCACCACCTTCTAAAACGTCAGCAGCTGCTCAGTTAGATGAGCTCATGGCTCACCTGACTGAGATGCAGGCCAAGGTGAGTGCAGTCCAGATGATAAACAGGGCCCATGGGGTCACCAGTTTATCTTTGTGGAACTCAGCTCTGCATTCTCCCACTTAGGAATTTTCCTAAGTTGTCATTGCTTTTTCCAGACTAAATTTAATTCCATGAGTTAACCCATCTTTGTACTATGTGTTATTTGGACACAAAAATTAATATATAATACAGACTTTGATCTCAAGGAGCTGGAGTGTGCTTGGCAAAATGAGGCATAAGTTTTTTTTAACATTTATAGAATAAAAGCCAGGTGGTTTGCAAACATATGTAGAGCAAACGTTACGGATATAGAGAGATTTTAGAGATTTAATCAGATAGTTGAAACTTGGGATGGACTCTGAAGAACTGGCAGAGTCTGGACATAGAGAGATGGGAAGAAAGGTGGTGTTAGTTGCAACGAGTCCTGAGGGCAGAGGTATCTAAGACTTGATAATGTGAAAGGATTTTCTTTTTTTTTTTTGAGACAGAGTCTTGCTCTGTGACCCAGGCTAGAGTCAGGTGGTGCAATCTTGGCTCACTGCAACCTCTGCCTCCCGGGTTCAAGTGATCCTCCTGCCTCAGCCTCCCGAGTGAGTAGCTTAGATTACAGGTGCCCGCCACTGTGCACAGCTAATTTTTGTTGTATTTTTAGTAGAGATGGGGTGTCACCATCTTGGCCAGGCTGGTCTCGAACTCCTGACTTCGTGATCCACCTGCCTAGGCCTCCCAAAGTCCTCGGATTACAGGCGCGAGCCACTGCACCTGGCCGAAAGGACTGTTAAAGAGACCTGACTAAGCAGGACAGAGGATATCAGTGAGCAAGCTGAGACACAGCAGGGGAGATCAAAGCATAGCTCTGACAGTAGGAAGGGTGAGAAGTCCCAAGCCCGTATTGAGATAAAATCTGCCTCTTTGTTCTAGTCTCTAGAACACCTCTAAAGTGGTGAGCTCACATGGTCTGGCATGGAATGAAAATCTCAGATAAATGGGCTTAAAGATTTATTTAGGAAATATAATCCAGAATCCTTAAGGCAGAGAATCCAACCATTTTAAATCTGGTTGGAGGATTTGATATATATTCATGAGGTGACTATGAAGTAATCTCAAAGCAGTACATAAAAACGTGTGTGATTGGAGAGGGCAGGAACCTTATCTTTAGAGCTTACCTTGGGACTCCCATTGCTCAACACAGGGCCTGATACATTGTGAGCAACACATATTTATTAGAGAGATGAATAAATAAACATTACAAACAAGTTTTCCTTAATGACTTACATCCTTTGATGGGCCAGTGTCTACAATAAAGCTGGGTAGATTGGCTCATTATGCTGTATATCTGAAAATACTAGAAAAAAATGTACGTTAGATTTAATTGTGTTGTGTTTCTAATTGATTTAGCATGTATCTTGGTTTATTTAAATTCTTAATTTACAACGCCATCTTTTTTTTTGAGACGAATTCTTACCCGGTTACCCAGGCTGGAGTGCAGTGGCATGATCTCGGCTCACTGCAACCTCCACCTTCTGGGTTCAAGCGATTCTAGTGCCTCAGCCTCCTGAGTAGCTGGGATTACAGGCATGCGCCACCATGCCCAGCTAATTTTTGTATTTTTAGTAGACGAGGTTTTGCTATGTTGCCCAGGCTGGCCTCAAACTTCTAAGCTCAGGTGACCTGTCTGCCTTGGCCTCTCAAAGTACTAGGATTACGGGCATGAGCCACTGTTCCTGGCGCCGTTTATCTTTTGAATAAGCTTCACCTTCACATTGTACAAAAAACGAAAGTACAAAAAGCTTGCACTGAACTGTTTCCTTCTCAGCTCTGCAGCCTAGCCGTCCAGTTCTGCCCCACTGGAGATAGGCAGAATTTCCTGTCTCTTCTATATCTGTTCAGAAGTATTCTGGAAGGTACCAGTGAAGAGATAGAGATGTAGGTGTAGATGTAGTTATATTGTATTTTTACTTATTTTTCATAATTAATGTCAGTCACCCCTTCAGACCTTTCAGACACTAACCTTCTGAACACTAACCTCTTGAATATTAACTAACATATATTAGAGGAGGAAGGATGTCTGTCAGATGATCAAAATGTCTTGAAGGAAAATGAGCATTTTGATTGGTGACAATGTGATGTTTAACAGGCAGTAAAAGTAGGATAAGTAGAGGTCTTAAGGCAGACAGTAACAGATCACATTCAGGAGACTGAAGAGCCCAGCTGGCCTAAACAATGGAGGCCTTTTACAACATAGTATTAATAAAAGATGAGATTGGGAAAGATAAAAAGGGAGGACAGTAGATGGGAGGCTTTGAATGTCTGTCTGATAAGTGCAGACTTGATGTGGAGGCAATGAACAGCCATTGTAGTTTTCTGATGAGTGAAGTATTTGGTAGATAGATGGTAGCAGTCGCCCAGCTAGAGAGAGCCAGAATCAGGATATGAGGTTATGAAGGGTCAGTTAGCCCCCGCTCCCCACTTTTTTTTAAAGTAAGGATCTTTCTTTGAATGGTTTATAATAATTTTGGACTTTGCTTAAATAATTCCAATCCATCAACAAGTCTTACCTGATGACTTCTCACCACCTTCTCCTATAACACTGATCTAAGTCATTATCTGATAATCTCCCTATGTTCACTCTTGCTTGTCAACACTTAATTGTCCACTCAGCTACCACAGGGATCCTCCAGATTCCTTCACTCCTGTGCTTGAAATCCTGCAATGGCTCCCGTCACCTTGGAATAAAACCCAAGTGTTTACCATGAGGTTCCTATGTGATCTTTGCCTCTCTTTCTCGATCACCTTCTCCTGCTGTGTTCAATCTCACTCCCTCTGCTTTAGCCCCACTGACCTCTTTGACTTTTCTTCTAATGTGCCAAGTTGTTTTCTTCCTCAGGGCCTTCCCTCCCCCTAGAATGCTTTTCCCATAAATGCCAATATTTCTGAGTCCCAAGTATCTACTCAAATATTACTTCCTTAGAGGGGCCTTCTTTGATTATTACCTCCATGTAAATCAATTATTCTTACCATCTTCGTGTGTCATTTCTGTCTCTCTATATAACATCTCTATCTGACATTGTAACATATATTTATTTGTTTAATTGTTTATTGTCTATCACCCACAGAATTCCATGAGACCAGACACTTGGTCTGTCTTATCCTTGCTTTAATCCAAGTGCTTAGAGCAATGATTGGCACAAACCAGGTATTCAACAAATACTGCCAAATAAGTGAGTAAAATGGAGATGTGACTAGTTTTTGAACTAGGGTCATCCTAAGATCTTCAAAGGGTATCATTTTCATGTACTAAAATTCCTATGTTAAGAAAAGATTTACAAACAGAAGATTAGTCAGATTTCATTTGGCCTGAGGAGTTTAGGGTGAAAGGGAGATGACAATATTTTTATTGGTGTTGAAATTTTAGATTCTTCCAATGCCTTGGAGGAAGGCTGGGGAAAGGCTAAGAGATCAGTCAGTAAAGGTGAATTTATAGAGTCATTAGAAGATGCCAGTGAGAATAGAAATACGTGAGACTGATTCTGTTCTTGGTTCTTCCCTTGGACCAGGTTGCAGTGAGAGCAGATGCTGGCAAGAAACACTTACCAGACAAGCAGGATCACAAGGCCTCCCTGGACTCAATGCTTGGGGGTCTGGAGCAGGAATTGCAGGACCTTGGCATTGCCACAGTGCCCAAGGGCCATTGTGCATCCTGCCGGAAACCGATTGCTGGGAAGGTAAGATGGGCTGAAATTTTGGTCCTACAGCCTTCTGTGTCTTTCTCTGTCCCATCAAGGATTGCTCTTTCTCCTTATAATTTGAGATATTTTAGTTATCATGAATAATTACTAATCACAGTGCTCTGGCCACTGAGCTAAGTGCTTTACAAGTATTTCCTCATTTAATGGTCACATCGGCCCTTCAAGAAGCATGGTTGCTCCCTTTGTAAAGATAAGGAAACTAAGGGCTCAGAGACATTAATGGACATATCTAAGGCCTAGTAAGAAGTAGAGATAAGATCTGAAACCAGTAGACTCTCTCCCAAGTGAGTTCTTAACCATTTTTCTGTACTGCCTTTACTGAGATGACCTTTCTCACTGCTCCCTTTGTTCAGACATTCCCAGTCTAAATTGATTGATTACAATTTTCAGCTGAACTCAGCTCCAAGTCACAGCTGCAGACCCCTGTTCTGCATCATCCTTCACCAAAGCTATGATAAAAGGCTTTGAGACCTGACTGCATAGGGCATGGAATAAAGTGTTCAAACTAGAGGAATAAAAACTGTCATTTGGCCTTTTCGTTTTCCAGGGGTCCCTTCCACGCCAAGGCTACAGTTACAACTTGTCTGTCATTAATGTGCTCTGTGTTGTTTCGGCCACCCCCTGTGGCAGTGGAGTGGTTGTGAACATTTACAGGCTTTCATCACAGTGATCAGTCAGGGAAGTGGGCATCCTTTTATTATCAATCCATAAAGCACAGACAACAGATGGCCTTAGGTGGAACCTAGGTCTAGGCCTCAGTGTTGTGTAATTCCACAGGGTGTTGTCTACAAGGGGTACAGTGTGAAGAGTGCTCCCTAGAGTTGTGCAACCTATAGGCTATAGAGCACTCAACTGGGCTCCTGTGTCAGGCTTCATTTCACTCCACAGGTGATCCATGCTCTAGGGCAAGCATGGCATCCTGAACATTTTGTCTGTACTCACTGCAAAGAAGAGATCGGCTCCAGTCCCTTCTTTGAGCGGAATGGCTTGGCCTACTGCCCCAACGACTACCACCAACTTTTTTCTCCACGCTGCGCTTACTGTGCTGCTCCCATCCTGGATGTAAGTAAATCCCCACTCCTCTCCAGCTTTCAATCGTTCAGAACTAGAGTCATGCTTTACAACTCTGCATCATTGTAATATCTGTGTGTTCCCTTTTCAGAAAGTGCTGACAGCAATGAACCAGACCTGGCACCCAGAACACTTCTTCTGCTCTCACTGTGGAGAGGTGTTTGGTGCAGAAGGTATGACCCGACTTGAGAGGTTGTATCCCACACCCCAGTAGGTAGTTATAAGACCAGCAACACCTTTCCTGGTAGTCACGGGAGTCCTGGTTCCTATCACTATTATTGAAGCGCCCATTTCAGTACTAGATACCATCCCTCTCTACCTTTCTCCAACATTTATAAGTTCCCTTTAAATTGATTTTTTAAATCACAGAAATACAAATGCGTAGTTTAAAACCTCAAATATTACTTCAAGGGTAACATTGAAAAAGACTTTTCTTGTTGAATATTGAAAAAGTCTCTTTCTCATCCCCAAATCTAGTTCTCCTCTCCAAATTATTTTAGCTATTTCTTCTGTTATTTACTTATTTGTTGTTGTTGTTGTTGTTGTTGTGTGTTTTTTGGATGGAGTCTTGCTCTGTTGCCCAGGCTGGAGTGCAGTGGTGCGATCTCTGGTGCGATCTCGGCCCACTGCAACCTCCACCTCCCGGGTTCAAACGATTCTTCTGCCTCAGCCTCCCGAGTAGCTGGGACTATAAGCACTTGCCACCACGCCCAGCTAAGTTTTGTATTTTTAGTAGAGATGGGGTTTCACCATATTGGCCAGGCTGGTCTTGGACTTCTCATCTCATGATCTGCCTGCCTCGGCCTCCCAAAGTGCTGGGATTAGGCATGAACTACTGTGCCTGGCCTGCTTATGTGTTTTAAATAATAACTTATCTTGTTATAGGTTGTTTTATTTTTCCAGTTTCAACCATTATGTATTGACTGTCTAGGAGGGAAGATGAGATTTAGAAATGTTGTTATTACCCCACTCAGTCCCAACATATTTCCCCTCCCCTGTTTTTTCAATGTATAATTATATCATAATTACAGATTAGATCAGTATTCAGTGTGTATATGTTGACAATCATAAAATACTGCTCACAAGTAAGCCATGTAGCAAACTGACTACACTAGAGTCTGGATTTTAGAGTCAGACTTCCCGGTTCAAATCTGGGTTGTGGTATTTATTAACTGTATGATGTTGTTCAAGTCATTTAACATCTCTGTACCTCACTTTCCTCATCAGTAAAATAGTCCTAATGAAATTGCCTACTTTATAGGGTTGTTATGAGGATTTAGAGACAATACAAGCATAGTATTTAGAACAGTGCCAAGCACACGGAGGTATAGTAATGTTAATATTATCACAGTGTCTTTTTTGTATAAATTCATTTTTTTCTTAAGTTAACATTTGAATCCTTTATGAAATTAGCTTTGTTTTCATTGTACTTATCACTAAGTTATGTAACAGAACTGTGAAATTCTTTTCAAAATGGTCAACTACATCTGGCAATAAGTCGGTTTCTTTTCTTTTCTTTTCTTTTTTTTTTTTTTTTTTTGCTGGAGATATCCCTCCAGGAGACTTTCTTCCTCCTGATTCAACATGAAATGATTTCTTCCTGCTGAGTAACAGTCATTCTGGTTCAGTAACTTAGAATTATATCTAGTAATTACTCTTAGAAATTCCTTTTATTACTTTTCTCTTTGGATGCTCTGCTTCCTGGGTCCCATGTCTATGTTTTAGACATGTTACCACCTTTATTTTAGTGGGGAAAATCCCCTAGTAGCTTTCTGAGAAAGAATTTTTGAGAACTTGAATATCTGAAAATATTTTTATTCTGTCATTTCCCTTAAGTTGCCTGGGCATAGAATTCTAAGTGGAAACTATTTTCCTTCATAATTCTGAAAACATTGCTTCACTGTCTTCTACCTTCCATGGTTGGCAAGTTTTTATTAAAATTTTTTTATCCTTGATCCTTTCTACATGACCCATTCTTCCCCCTTTGTATGTTTGTTTCATGTGTTTTCTGAATTGTCTTTTTAAAAAAAATTTCTTCTTTTTATGTTTGTTTTGAGCAAACATGGAATCAGAAAGCTGCTTTACTTTGTTTTCTTTCTCCTGTCCTTTTAGAATGAACTCGGTGGGGAAGGATTTCTCCTCTCTTACAAATAAAAGCTGGTGCAGTCCTCTGTCTTTTCTGATTACTCTTAAAAAACAGTTATAAATATAAAATCAATTTAAGAAACAAAACACAAAAACTAAGCCCATAGGTAATTCGGTCTGTGTAATAGTTAAGGCTTACAGCACTTTAAAAGTGACAGCCACTCCCTCTCTTTTTAGGACCTTCAAGCTGCAGGAGGTGAGGACAGGGGTATGGCCTTTCATTTCTCCGGACCCCACTTTGTTATCTACCACCCTCACCCTTATTGCCAGCATTGACACCTGCCTGCTGTAGGCTTGAAACACTAGGGAGGATGGAGATGAGAATGGAAGGCAGGAAGGTCTAACTTGTCTGGGATTGTTGTTAAATTGGCTGTATGCTCTCCAGACCTGGCCAGTGTTTAGCTCTGACTTTTTTCCCTGAATTCTTTTTGGGATTAAGACAGGTCCAACAGTGAACTCTTGATTGCCCTTTACGTGTCTTGACTGGCTGTTCTGTCCTTGTCATGTTTCTTTGAGGATTTGTTTTGTAAAGATTCTTTTTTTCAAGGGGCTTTCATTGTTCCCCCCTAGTGAACCCTTAGAAATTATTAACATGGTTCCAGATCATCTATTCCACTCAAATTTTCATAGAAGGACCATGGATAACTTACTCTTTTCTCTGACAGCCAGTGGGGTTACAATTAATTTTTAGCTGCATGTTTCTATTCAGCTGCCATAGACTCTTTCAGCCAGACTCACCTATGGACTTTTTCCAGGGATAACTCTGATACCACTAACTGCATCTCACTAATGCCAAGGCACACATATCCACCTCTCTGAGTGGTCCCACTGAAGTCCCTCTTTTAACCTGAGTGATAACCTCAGGTTATCTTGATAACAGAACTATACCTCATCTTTCTTGGTGGTGATGAGGCACTCATAGCACAGTTTTCTTCAAAGAAATCCTTCTCTCAGTTTTCCTTTTTCTTTACCTGTTTTCTCCTGAACGTGAGTGAGGAATTCCAGAATTGTACAAATAGTCTTTGGCTACCTGTTTGGAGGGATGTTTTGCAGTTCAATTTGGAATTTGATATATATTACATTTTGGTGCCTTACATTTGTTTACACTGGTCTTTGCAAATGCTGCTGATCCATGGTTGTCTGTTACTGTTTAAGAATGAGACACTAAAATGCTAATTTCAAACTCCATGGATATAGACAGAAATTGTTGACTGGTGGACTTGACTATACGGCACTCAGGTAAGATGCTCTGGCCATTTTGTTGAGTGACTCCTGAATATGACAATCTTAGGTCTTTTCTGTTGAGCCAATTATGCTAAAGAGATGTTCTCTTTGCCAGCATTCTGAGATTGAAAAAGGGGATGGGGGAATGGACTTTCACCATTCAGCATGTCAACTTTTACTTAATTCCCATTTTTCAGTAGAGAGCTTGACTCATTTCCTCATGGTGTCCAACATTCCTGATCATTGAGACTCTCTTGTTCAATATTTACAGAAATAATCACTGCATCTTACCATAAGATAAGGCATCTAACCTTCTAATCGTTCTTTAGACTTTCAACCAGTCCTGTTTCTAGCCTTGAAGAGTACCTCATGCATTCAATTCCTGAGCCCCTCTGATATTATCGTATTCAAGATGGCTTGATTTTTATTGGCCTCTCCCATCTGTGGAGACATAAGTTCCAGTTTTCTTATTTATGTTAAGCCAGTTGCCACTCTTATAACCTACTTTAAAATCTTGAAAATTTAGTTAATATCTCACCTGGTGGCATATCCTTTACTTTTTTATCTTTCCTTATGGCTCTTTATAATTTACATAATTCCTTAACTGTCATGTTAATGATGTTTCAGGAGGGAGTAAAGAAAATCCCATGTGTTTAGGCCCTTTGCTAATATGGAGACTTTCCCAAATATCAGGCATATTATTATGTATGTGGTTAAAAATAATTTATTTGATGCCACCGCAGTCTTGTGAGAGCAAGTTTATTCCACATTTTACCTAGTTATAGATAAAAATAGTGAGTCTCAGGTAGGTAAAGGATTTTCTTAAAGTCACACAGTTAGAAAGTTGAAGAGGCAAGATTTCAACTTGGGTATCATTTCTGCAAGTTCTATGTTTTTCATAAAACATCACAACTGCCTTTTGACTGAAACTCAATTCCTCTTCTGCTGTTGCATCTCTTTACTTTTGTGGTACCAACACAATATGCTTTATTTGACAATAGACCCAGATACAGTGGCGCTGACAGATTCCACAAGCAAAGTGTCCTGTAGTAATTTGCTTGTTCACTGGAGCTTGCTCAATGCTTTTTCACAAATCATTAGGTATTTCATTTCTAGATGGTATTTTACCTAAGCAGCATTTTTCATTGACACTTAATACAAATCGTATTAAAATGTGTTACGGTAATTTATATTGTACTGGTAGCCATAAAAGTCTGAGAATTAGTTGAGTAGAACCGTCAGCAAGTGAATACTGCCCTGTGGATCATTATGATGGAGAAGTTGCCTGAAAGCAGAACAATAGGACATAGGCACATTTCAAGTAGAGACATAAGTTAGATACTCATACACAAAAATATCCAATCCATAGGATGACCAGAAAGCACCATGAAGGTAGCTAGTTCTCATTTTCTTGACTCAGGCCCCTTCTAGACAGACAGGGCTGATGGGGTCATTTATGGCTTTATATAAACAGGAAACAACACTTAAAACATATTTATACATAGAGTCACATGACAAAAAGGGACATTTATTAATCAGAAGCTCCACTTGGGTTGTATTTTCCTTTTTATACCTGGCTTTCTGTAAAAAGGTCTCCTGCCATATGGTCAGTCCATTAATTAGGTGACATCCTGCCTCACCCCAAGTTACATAGTCACAAAGAGTTTCTATAATGACAATTTAACCGCTGAGCCTCCTGGGAAATTAAATTCATCTGTATTTTTTCATCAGTTCAGAGAATTCCTCTTTAAGGCTCAAGCCATTGGGCCTTAGCCTCCTCCCACAGGGATGAGCTCTTCAGTGT